TGCTGAAATCAAAACTCAATTTACTGTGCCCGTACAAATTTTAAGAAGTGATAATGCTAAAGAATATCTATCAGAATACTTCCAAAATTATATAGTTCAACATGGCATTATTCATCAAACTTCTTTTGTCGATACACCATTTCAGAATGGGATTGCTGAAAGAAAAAATCGGCATCTTCTTGAAATTGCCAGAGCTTTGTTATTTCAAATGCAGGTCCCTAAACATTTTTGGGCTGATGCCGTTTCTACGGCTTGTTTTCTAATTAACCGTATGCCTTCTCTCGTTCTTTCTGGTGAGACTCCCTTTCGTGTTCTTTTTCCTAACAAGTCATTATTTCCTATTGAACCTAGGATTTTCGGTTGTACTTGTTTTGTCCGGGATGTTCGCCCTCATGTTACCAAACTTGATCCCAAATCTCTAAAGTGTATCTTTCTTGGCTATTCTCGTGTGCAAAAAGGGTATAAATGTTACTGTCCCACTCTTAACAGGTACCTGTGTCAGCTGATGTTACATTTTTAGAACAAACACCATTTGCTTCTTCTTCAGGTTCTATCAGTCTGGGGAAGGAGGATGATTTATAGTTTTCCATCCCCTAGTTCTGATCTCCCTTCCTCTACTCCTGTTAAGCCTCCCTATACAACAGGTTTATTCTCGCCGCCAACAACCTCCTGCTCCAGTTACTGTTCCTGCACGTCTTGCTTCATGTCCTGCACCAGTTCCTTCGTCATCAGATCCGGTTCCGAGTTCTAGTGATGATCTTCCTATTGCGCTTCGCAAAGGTGAACGTCAATGTACTTATCCCGTCTCTTCTTTTGTGGCATACAACCATTTATCCCCGTCATCTTGTTCTTTTGTTGCGTCTCTTGATTCTATCACACTTCCTAAGACTGTTCATGAAGCTCTATCTCATCTTGGATGGCGTAAGGCTATGATTGAGGAGATGAATACTTTAGATGACAATGGTACTTGGAACTTGGTACACTTGCCTGTCGGTAAACGGGCTATTGGATGTAAATGTGTGTTTGCAGTTAAAGTCAATCCTGATGGAACTATTGCTCGATTGAAAGCTCGACTATGCTCAGACATATGGGGTTGATTACTCTAACACCTTTTCTCCTGTTGCTAAACTTACATCGGTCAGGTTATTTATTTCTATGGTAGCCACATATAATTGGCATATGCATCAGTTAGACATTAAGAATGC